CTTCAATCTCCCAAAATTCCTTCAACAATTACTTCTCCAAGCTCCATTCCACTCAACAATGGTGCTTCTCCGCGATTTAGGGTTTTCTGGGGCTCAAGGGGTGATAAAGAGGCTGGGAGGAAAACATAATGATCTTTATATAAGGCTCAACCCCGAGAATTAGGGTTTTCTCCACCCAGCGCCTACTCGCCGAGTCCATCTCACTAACTCGCCGAGTCGGCAACTTAACACGCGACCAAGTCGCGACTCTACTCGCCGAGTCCATCCATGGACTCGCCGAGTCACTCTTTCACAACTTACTCTTTTAGCCCCTTCAACTCTACTCTTGATATTTCGGGATGTTACAAAGTTTTCAATTTTTTTCGATTTTGACACTAAATTTAATTTTTCTTTCAATTTTGACACTATGTTTTTCTGTTTCAAATCGAACATCATTTTTTCCAATTTTGTTCAAAGTTGATAATTTTCTATTTGAAACCGTTAAATATTTTTTTAATACATTTAAACCATATAAATGTTTTTTTTTTCAATTAAAAACCATAGTTTTGTATAAACACAAGTTTTTTTTTTTTTTTTTTTTTTTTTTTTTTTTTTTTTTATAAATTCAAACCATAATTTTATGTATAAATATGTATTAGTTATATAAAAACCGTATTTTATATTAAATACACAACTTTAAAATGAGTTTGGAGGTTTGGAGACGTGTAACCAATCAAAATCCTGATGTCAAGTTTGCAACCCATGAAATTTTTATGATTAGTCTGATTCTCATGATACAACTAATACATATTTATTCATTATGCTTTGAATGAAAAAAATATACATTGTATTTTCATTCAAAGCATAATGTATAAATATGTATTAGTTGTATCATGAGAATCAAACTAACCATAAAATTTTCCTGGGTTGCAAATTTGACATCCGGTTTTTGATCGGTTACACGTCTCCAAACCTCCAAACTCATTTTAAAGTTGCGTATTTAATATAAAATACGGTTTTTACATAACTAATACATATTTATACATAAAATTATGGTTTAAATGTAAAAAAAACTTGTGCTTATACAAAACTATAGTTTTTAATTGAAAAAAACAATTATACGGTTTTAATATATTAAAAAAATATTTATAAGGTTTCAAATAGAAAATTGTCAACATTGAACAAAATGGGAAAAAATGATGTTCGATTTGGAACAAAAAAACATAGTGTCAAAATTGAAAAAAAAATAAACTTAGTGTCAAAATCGAAAAAAAATTAAAAACTTAGTGTATTTTGTGGAAAAAATTCAATTTTGACACGTTAGCATATCATGTCAGCATGTCACGGCATCAAAACTAACACGTCATCATGTTATGTCAATATGTAACCAGGTTGACCGGTCAAATGGTCATAATTATAACAAATTGGAAAACACAATAGCAAATTTGAGACAAAAAAAAACACAGTGTCAAATTAGAATTTCAATGTAAACTAAGTGTTTTTTTTGCTATTTACCCATCATTTATACTTATAAAGGAAGACTTTTTCCATGCACCACATTCATTTGAAACTCCCATCTATTTTTTCTATCACCACATTCATTTGAAACTCCCATGACTTTTCAATTTCTTTCTAAAACTAATTATAATTTGGTTAATTAGGTTAAATAAATATCAAACCTAAAATGTAATCATATAGAAACTAAATTTCAATATTAAAATAATATTTTTATTTCTACTAATAAAGTTATGTTTTTTTTAACTTATAACATATTATACTTAATTTATTAGTTTTAATTTATTATTGGATGTAAACCATTATCATTTTAAAGATACAATTTCGGAACAATTTATATAAAATACTTAAATTATTAATTTAAATATAACATTACATGGTCAACTTAAATATAAATTTTAGTTTAACTTAAACAACTCAAAGAATATTTTGTAAATAGTTAAAAGTGATAAATTTTAGTGTCTTTCTAATAATTATTATAAGTTGGTTAGTACGGTTAAATAAATACCAAACCTAAAATGTCATCATAAATAAACTAAATTTCTATTTTAAAATAATATATTTACTTATACTTATAAAATTATATCGTTAACTTTTAACATATTATACATAATTTATTACATTTAATATGATATTAAATGTAAACGATTATCAGTTTAAAGCTACAACTTTTGAACAGTTTTGACAAAATACTTAAATTGTGAACATAAATATAACATTACAATATCAACTTAAATATAAATTTCAGTATCTCTTAAAAAACTACAGAATGTTTTGTAAATAGCTAAAAGTGATAAATGTAAAAACTAAATTGTAATCTCAATTTAACAAAAATATTTCCTAATGATATTTTTATAATCGTTAAAAGTTTTCAAATTAGTAGCTTAAAATAACTTAAAATAACAATAGTTAAAAATAACTCTATATAAATGATTATATTGTTACCTTTAAAATCAAAAAAATAATGTTTGATGTTTTAAATAGTTATAATGATAGAAATAAAAACATTAAACAAATAAATTTTAAAATATTAGTTAACAATAACAACAACTATAAATAATATTAAACCATAAATTATATTTAATTTTATTCACATCTAACTCGCGGGTAGAAGTCATTCAAACGATTGAGATTATAAAGTTATAATATATGTGTATATTATCATATAATTCAAAATAATCAATATGTTATATCAATTTAGTATACGAATTATTATATCAAATCTAACAACAATGTTATTGTTATATATATATATATGTAAAATCTTCAATTATATAGGTGTTTCTGCACATTACAATATCAACTTAAATATAAATTTTAGTTCCACTAAAAAACCTAAAAAATATTTTGTAAATAGTTAAAAGCGACAAATTATAGTGATAAATGCAAAAACTAAACTGTAATATAAATTTAACTAAAATATTTTCTAAATGTATTTTTATAATTGTTAAAAGTTTCCAAATAAGTAGATTAAAATAACTTACAATAGCAATAATTAAAAATAATTCTATACAAATGATTATCTTACTACCTTTAAAATCAAAAAAATAATGTTTGATGTTTTAAATAATTATAATGATAAAAATTAAAACATTAAGCAAACAAATTTTAAAAAATTAATTAACAATAACAACTATAAATAACATTAAATATTATATTATATTTAATTTTATTAATGTGTAACTCGTGGGTAGAAATCATTCAAACGATTGAGATTACGAAGTTATAATAGATGTATATATTATCACATAATTGAAAATAATCAATATATTATATCAATTAAGTATAAAAATTGTTATATCAAATTTAACAACAACATTATTATTATATTTATAAAGAAAACATATATTTGTAAAGACTTCAACTATATAGGTGTTTCTGCGCAACGCACGAGCATTCGCCTAGTCATACTATATTATATAGGAAATATTTTTTTTCCTTTCACCACATTCATTTGAAACTCCTATTTGTTTTTTCCTTTCATCACATTCATTTGAAACTTCCATAACTTTTTAATTTCTTTGTAATAATGATTATAAGTTGGTTAATAAGGTTAAATAAATATTAAATCTAAAGTGTAATCATATATAAACTAAATTTCAATATTAAAAGAATATATTCTCTTCTACTTATAAAGTTATGTTTTTAATTTAAAACATATTATACTTAATTTATTAGGTCTAATATGTTGTTGTATGTAAATCATTATTATTTTAAAGCTACAACTTTTGAACAATTTGTATAAAATACTTAAATTGTTAATTTAAATATAACCTTATATGATAAACTTAAATATAAAATTTAGTTCCATTTAAACAACCCAAAGAATATTTTGTAAATAGTTAAAAGTGATATAAACTATAGCGTCTTTATAATAATGATTATAAGTTAATTAATAAGATTAAATAAATATCAAACCTAAAGTACAATTATAAATAAACTAAATTTTAATATTAAAATAATATTTTTACTTCTACTTATAAAGTTATGTCTTTAACTTTTAACATATTATACTTAATTTATTAGATTTAATATGTTGTTGTATGTAACCATTATCAATTTAAAACTAAAACTTTTGAACAGAGAAAATAATTCAATTGTTCATTTAAATATAACATTGCAGGATCAACTTCAATATAAATTTAATTCAAATTAAAAAACACAAAGAATATTTTTTGAATAGTTAAAAGTGATAAATTGTAGTGCTAAATGCAAAAACTAAATTGTAATATCAATTTAACTAAAATATTTCATAAAGATAATTTTTTAATAAGTAGCTTAAAATAATTTATAATAATAATAGTTAAAAATAATTCTATATAAATTATCATATTGTTACCTTTAAATAAAAAAATGATGTTTTAAATAATTATAATGATAGAAATTAAAACGTGAAGCAAATAAATTTTTAAAAATTAATTAATAATAACAACAATTATAAATAATATTAAACCATATATTATATTTAATTTTTAATAATGAGTTACCAGTGGGTAGAGGTCATTCAAAATAATCAATATATTATATTAACTTAGTATAAAAATTATTGTATCAAATTTAACAACATTATTGTTATATTTAATAAAACTTATATTTGTAAATATATCAACTATATAGATACTTTTGCGCAACGCACGAACATTCGTTTATTATTGATAACATGTAACCGTTTGTTTGTATTGTTTATAAAGAAAAATTGAATAATAAATATATATAAAATACAATCGTAAAAAAAAAAACGAAAATGCAAATGGAACTTTATATGCAAATAGTAAAGAATGTCGACTAAAACTTTTAAAACAATTCTATTATCATGGACTGTAATTAGGATCGAAGCTTCGTCAATTTCGTTGACTATAGCTAATATTTATTCGTTACCTAAGAAAAATAATAAAATATCCGATGGACGCTGATGGATATCATCATCAGAATCAGAAACATATAATCAAGCCTCAAAGTCTCAAATTCATATTCGATTCTCTTCATTTCTTTTGAATTACTGAAATATGAGTACTCTCATCATCTTCACAATTCTATGTACCAACCTAATCATCAACAGTTTTCCGACGACAGCTGTTTCAACCATCAAAGTTGGGGACCAACTCAACCGCAATTCTCAGCTTCTTTCCCACGATAAAGTGTTCACGTTAGGGTTCTTCAACTTTCCGGACGCAAACTCCACTTATTTAGGAATTTGGGAAACCAACGATGAACTATCGTTCACCAACAAAGTATGGGTAGCCAACCCATCCAAACCGATCATACCCAGCTCTAGCATCGTCCTCATGATCCATCCTGACACCGGAAAATTGATCATCGCCTCTGGTGAAACAACCCTTGTAAATATCTCCGATAATAAATTCACTCCTGGTGATAATTTGACTGCAACTCTTTCATCCACTGGTAATTTCAAACTGAAGAACGAAACTGATAACCAGACTCTATGGCAGAGTTTTGATTATCCAACCAATCTTCTTCTACCAGGTATGAAAATAGGGGTAAACATTAAAACAGGTCAGAGCTGGAACCTAACTTCTCGGTTAAGAATTGGTAACCCTGATTTGGGTGCTTTTACTTTGAGCTGGGAACCCACTGACGAAGCATCTCAGAGATTTATGATTCGAAGACGTGGTCAACCCTACTGGACAAGTGGGAATCTAAATAATCAAATATCACCGAATAAATTTGAATTTCTTACTGTAGATAATGGATACCCTTATAATGTTAGTTATGTATACAACAATGATGAGAGATACTTCACTATCCATGCTAATTTAAGCGTAAGTTTTAGTGATTGTATGATGAGGTGTTGGGATGATTGCAGCTGTCTGGCGATTAACACACAAGAAAATGGAACCAACTGCGTTACATGGCATGGACCCAAATCAACAAAGTTTAAAATAAACCAGGCAGATACTTCTGAGCGGAAGTATGTGTTAGAGTCTCAACACCCGAGTAAAGGTAAATAAATAGTGATTGATTCGATGGTGTTTATGGGTTACTATTTATATATTCAATTGCTTTAATCTTCTTTATCTCTCCTAGCTACTACACACATATGGGCACCTATTGTTGCTGGGATAGGATTCTTCTACTTTCGATCTGCTTCGGACTATTGTGGTATCTTAAGAAGAGAAATCTTAGACTCAAAGGTATGACAATGTATATTAACGTTAATCCCATATGCGTGTGTTGTTTACAATCACCTTCCTTTTTAATCTATATTTTATTGAAGCTGAGGAGAGACGAAGAAGAGATGACGAATATATTATTGGGCTGATGGCGTCAGATAGCTTCAATGATGCAAGTAATCTCGATAGTAGTGGCAGAAAAAAAAAAGTGAAGTGATGGTGTTCAGCTATGCTTTTATCGTAGCAAGCACAAATGACTTTGCAAGCCAGAATAAACTCGGAGAGGGTGGTTTCGGACCTGTTTATAAGGTACTTTTATCTTTGTTATATATGGGTCATGTTTTCAAAACTCAACAATCTGACGTAATGAGATATTGTGTCTTTATGAGAAAAGGGGAAACTTAGCGATGGACGGGATATGGCAATTAAAAGGCTTTCAAGAGCATCAGGACAAGGGCTTGTGGAATTCAAGAATGAACTCGTACTTATTACCAAACTAAAACATACAAATCTTGTTCGGGTCCTAGGTTGTTGTATTCATGGAGAAGAAAAAATGTTAATTTATGAGTATATGCCCAACAAAAGTTTGGATTTTTTTCTCTTTGGTAATGAAAATTATCAAACTAAATGTCTGTCATGGTTTAAATTTAATAAATTATTGTTTCATTTGACTTTCTGAAAACACTTGAATAGATGAAACAAAAAAGATGCTCCTATATTGGATGAAACGATGGAACATCATTGAAGGGATTGCTCAAGGCATGCTTTATCTACATAAATACTCAAGAATGCGAGTTATTCATAGAGATCTAAAAGCAAGTAATGTCTTGTTAGATGAATGTATGAACCCTAAGATTTCTGATTTCGGTATGGCTAGAATTTTCAAGCAACATGAGACCGAAGCAATGACCAATAGGGTGGTCGGAACATAGTAAGAATGCTTTTCTCTTTCACTTGTCTATGTTGGATATTGTCAAATTGTCAAATTGTTTGCTTACATTATAGTATAAGGGCATAAATGCCTAATCGTTGTTAGGCATCAAAATTGTATGAAACTGGTAATAAGAGGGGATTGAAGAGAAATTGTTATATATGATTTCCATATATTAGTGAAATTTGGTTCTTGAGTTACTAAATCTATGTTAAACATCTTACGCAGTGGTTACATCGCTCCTGAGTATGCAATGGAAGGGACTTTCTCGGAGAAGTCTGATGTTTTCAGCTTTGGAGTCTTAACCCTGGAAATTGTTAGTGGAAGGAGAAATACTAGCTTTTCTCATTATGATAAGACTCTCAACCTAATTGGATATGTAAGTTTAGTTACAATTTGATATTTTTATAGATTTATTGTATTAGAAAAATAATCTATATAAAGTCAAAGTAAATATAACGATTGAAGACATTGAAATTGAACTGTTTTAGGCATGGGTACTGTGGCTAGAAGGGGACACACTTGAGCTTGAGGATCTAACGCTAATAAATACTCATGCCATACATCAACTGTTAAGGACTGTCCATGTTGCACTTCTCTGCGTCCAAGAAAACGCATCGGATAGGCCTTTGATATCGGGCGTTTTATCTATGCTTAACAATGACACAATGACACTACCTGTCCCAAATCAACCAACATTCTTTATTGGTAGAACCGCTTCGAACTCAACTTCAGAGGAAAGGAAGTCAAATGAATGTTCAGTAAACAAGATGACTGTTACGGTAATGGAGGCTCGATAGCATGTCATAGTCATGAAAGATCTTAATGTCCAAGAGTCATTATAGAATGATATTGCTAATGACATATGATCATATAGGATCACAACTTATAATAAGTTATTACTAACTGATTATTTTTTAGAGTAATTTTCATTATTATTTTCTACAGAGCTTCGACTTTGGAGCTTTTGCCATCTTCATCAAATCCTAATTTTCAAAAGGAACCAAAAACTTCAAATATTGTAATCTTCTTCTGTCTTATGATTGTTATCATTTTTTAAGCCTTGCAAAATGATCATGGATGGTTTTCTTTTTGCAAGAAAATGAAAACATATTTTCTATGTGAAATTTATAGTTGTTATTTTTTTAGTGAAAAATGTTTATATGCATTCTTTTGTCACTAAAAGTTGTCTTAAAAAAACAAAGTGTTTATATATATATATATATATATATATATATATATATATATATATATATGTGTGTGTGTGTGTGTGTGTGTGTGTGTGTGTGAGTGTGTGTGTTATTTTGTTTTTAGTAACTATTGTGTGCCAGAAGGTACATATCTGGACCACCGGATGAATATAATCAACAATCATGATCTGAAGGTCTATGATATTACAATAGGATAACATGTATCATATAATCACATAAATTTTAGTAAAATGGTATTTTGGTCAATTAATCTATTTTTAAAAAGGAAATTTTCAGATTTTAAGGGATCATTAATTCTCTTATTTTTAAAAAATTTGAATTTTTTAAATTAATTCTAATTAAAATTAATGTTATTTTTAATAATAACCCATTTTATTTTGTCACAATGACAAAAAGTCAACAATGAACTAGTAAATATATTTGCAGTTTTATTCTTGCAGAATATGATTTCATTCAAGATACTTTTTATATTAAACATGGTTAAAGAATTATACAACATATTATCAATAATAACATTTTCTAAAGAATACAACTTTTATTCTTTAAGAATTAATATTTACATTCATCCGTAAAGAATAAGATTATAAAGAATTATTACGTTCATTCTAAAAAACTATAACTAAGAATGGTTTAAGGATTACATTTATTATAAAAGATTAAAACTAAAAATGGTTAAAAAGGAACCAAGAAAAAAAAAAAAAAAACTAACAAAAGCACTAATCCATTCCGAAATAATATTATTGTTAAGAAACACTTTATACATTCTAGCATAATATATTTTGCAAGAATACACTCTAGTTCTCCATGTTTTTTCTCCATTTCCACATCAATGACAATCTCTTCAAAACCAAAATCCACAAAAAAAAAAAACATAATCAACTTTCAGATATTAAAAAATTCAGAGTATTCTAAAAGAATAAAACTATAAATTCTGATACAATGTAGTAGACATTAAACACTTATAATTTATTCTAATAACATGCATTTTTAGTTATTTTGTTAGAATATACTATCGATATTCTAATAACATGCATTACTCGTAATTCTTCTAGAATGCATTACTCGTAATTTTGCTACAATGCATTACTAGTTAAACAAATATATTTATTGTTAACAAAACATTCTTAAAGACATTTTGACAGAATGCATTTATATAAATAAATTCAGACAAAATATACACAAGTTTTAACTTATATTCTAATAGAATTTATAACATCTTTTTTTTATATATATAAAAACAGCAAAATAACATAACTACACATATTAACATCAATTCTAAGCAAATATTTCATTTTTGTTTATTGCTTAAACTTCAATTCCTTAAGAATTCTAACAAAATATTATCTACTTTACTTCTAAAAGAATATTTCAACACAAGTATAAACATGTTACCTTAATATATTCTGATAGAATCTTCCCAATAAATCCAACATATCAAACTTACCTCTTTTACAAAAAAAAAAAAAATAATAAATAAAAAAAAAAAATCACTTTTTGACATTATATCAAATACTTGGAAGACATTTTTGATTATTAACATTCAAAAAACGTAATAGTACAAGCAGCTCATCATTTTTAATCACCAAACACACTAATCTTCTCCAAATGGTGCGTTTAAGCCACATCTTGGCTCAAAAAAGGTTTTGAGAATTTTTTTTATTTATTTTAGAAATTTGTATGTATGCACAATAAACAATCATGTGGATTGCTGATGAGCACAATCAACAACCATATGGACTACTGATGAGCAATCAACACTTCATATGACTGCTGATTGTGCTTATCGGTAGTCAATATAACTATTGAGTGTGTTGATCAGCAATCCATATGACTGTTGAATTTGCACTTCTACAATCATACAATAAAACCAAAAAACAAAAAAAAAAATCATCACTTTTAGCCTACATATGGCTTAGAAACACCATTTGGAGAACATTGGTGTTTTTTGGTGTTGAAAAATGATGAGCTGATTATGATTTCGCAAGTTCTAACAAATCTTTCTGTTCTCAAAAGAACTTGGCTCTCTCTTTCTCTCTCTCTCTCTCTCTCTCTCTCTCTATATATATATATATATATATATATATATATATATATATATATATATATATATATATATATTGATTTCAAGTCCATTAGCATGGCCCAGATAACTCTGGAGCGCCAGCTTTTCCTAGAGCTCTCTTGGCATTCTCTTGCCAGTTTTTTTTGGTGCCCACCTCCATTATTTTCCCTTAGATCTCTAGATCTATTCCATTTTTGCCTAGATCTCAAGATCTACTTCATTATTTCTACTCAGTTGTCTAAATCTGTTTTATTGTTTTTCATTTGAACATTTCTGAAGCTTGTAAAGAAATTTTTAGATCAGTTTCGTCATATTTTAGTTACTTATATAGAAAGTTGGGGAGGAAACAAAGTTTTATCAGTTCTTGCATTTTTACCACGAAAATCCTTTTTAGTTGATAATTTTCTATACATATATCTATAAAGCTTGTACATCTCATAAAACTCATCAAAACCTAATAAAGATGATAGATATTTATCCATTCCACAAAAAACACAAACTATTTTGTTTATCCTAGTTCGAAATTACAATTATCTGATATTTACAGTTCATCTGTGCAAATTGTATAGAAACAAAAGGGTTACAGGAATTGTGACTTGCTTTTTCACATTTTAACCGATATAAAAAGTTTTTTTAAAAAAAAGTAGAGCATATATGGTGCATAAAGCAGCATCAACAACAACATTAATGTGGGTTGGGTCCCACACAATTCAAAAATAAGCCAATGAAAAAGAAAAATGGGCAAGAAGAGGATAATCAGGTCCTCAATTGTATAGTATGCACATTTATCTGCTAAAAGACAATAAGACCCACATGGGCCCACCAGGTCCATCACATACCTTCAAAAAAGCATTATGGTCTGATGCCATCACCGGTCGTCTCGGGCTAAAGAATGGCAAAACTGACAAAGCATCTTCGCCAACAGTTGCCTCCAAACGGAGCTACAACAACATTTGTTGCCAACTGGAGCTAAGGCTTCACATGACAATCAAAAAACACAACTCCTGCGCAAACCTCCAATATATGGCCAATGAAAGTTGTTCCTCCCTCCACTAGATGTCGACAGTCGATCTCCCACCGTGGTATCATCAGTGCCAACCACAGTCACCACCACCGGTCACCCTCAACAGGTAACGCAAGAGAGTGGCGCCATCGGCGTTTGTATCATTTCTCTAATCCCCTCCTGCAGGCAAAGATCTCTAGTAAGGAACAAAAAAAAAGGTACTGTGAAGTGTGCACCACTAAACACTCACTTAAAGTTTTCCCCAATGGGCATAAAAATATAATCCTCTACACAATGCTTGTTGCGGGTCTCATCCCCTTCGTCGGGGTGCATGCGGTTTCCTCGAATGGTGTTTCTATGAACAACTTTTCATAGTCACTAGAACACAGGAATCATGGATCAAGTACGTTGCCTTTATTTACGGACTTCAGAGCTTGACATAAAGATTGCATCGAATAACGATTTCAAAGGTTGTATGTCAAGGTTACGCTTCTTAGCTACTTTGGTCTTTGTCCAGTACATTTTCTCTACTCCACGAAGCGTAATAGAATATTATCATGATAGAAATGCTCAAACTAAATTTTGACATGAAATAAACTTCTCAATTTTGAATGAAGGTCTAGCTATCTCTCATTTCCCAAGAAAATTAGTACATTCTACATAATATTTCTATTCAGTAAAACTAAAATATTTACTAAAGTTTTATTATGATAATCATGACAGGCATTTATCTTCAGGGAGTTAAGGTATCTATGAAACAAACACCAACCTACTATACATAGTAGAAAATCTTTTTTACTACATATTATTTCCATACGAAAAGATGCCACATTTTGATAGCCGAGTCAATAAACAATTTTCGATTTAATTAAATCATTTTCCCATATTTGGTGCTTAACTACTGATTGCATGCTACTTGGGCATTTACCTAAAACACATGTAGTTTGCCTTACAAGCTTACATAAAGGCATATGTTGTGAACAATTTCCAAAACTACATGATTGTGTACACTTTAAGTTCCATTATCATGCATTTATCTTACTATCATTTACATAGTATGGAGTTGGATACTTTACTATTATTGTTTACAGTGTCATGCACAAACGAATGAGGCTCAAATTTGCAAACACAGGCGACTATCATACTTTCATCATTCTAATTCTTCACCCTTCCTAAAAAGGGGGGAGTAGAAGGGTTGGCATGACACCATGCAGAAGTGTTATTTCGAGCAAAAAGTTGAACTACATAACAAGCAAACATTGTATATAATTGTGCATCCACGGGAAGGCATTACTTTTTTTTAATGAAGGAGGAGCTTCATGGCCCAATCCTCAGCAGTCATGTTGCCTGGATTCCAGCAGTTGTGTTGACCAGCTCTTGGCAGTCTCTTTGACTAGCTCTCGGCAATCATGCTACTCGACTATCAGCAACTGCGTTGACTAGCTACAAGCAGTCTTGCTGCTTAGCTCAGAAGTTGTGATGCCTGGATCCCAACAACTATGTTGAACAACTCTTGGTAGTCTTTTTCCCAGCTCTCAGTAACCACGCTTCCTGGCTATTAGTAGCCATATTGGCCAGCTCTAGGCAATCTCGCTACTCAGCTTTCAATAGGCATGTTGACCGGCCCCTGGCAGTCTTGATGCTTAGTTCTCAGCAGTCGTGATATGTGAATCTCAGCAGTTATGATGCCCATCTCTCAAGAGTCGTGTTACTCAACTCTCACTAACAACTAGTTGCCCAACTAAGCATCCCTTCTATTCA